TTGCACGTGGACTAAACGTTGTGATAAAAGCAACAAAGGTAGGGATAGTAGTCCGCGTGTAAATAATGTAAAAAAAAAAACCTTTTATTGGTCAGTTTTTGTTGGCCTCCATGGCAGCATTTTATTTTACTAAATCTTGACTCAATACAAGGCCCAAGAGCCACACTATGTAGAGGGTACTGAATGAATTTATTGCTTTGATTCATTGATTCGTTCTTTATGGCTTAGCAACCCTTTAAATGTTATTTAAGACCAGAAAATTTTTTAGATTGTAACATTTTTTTAGGTATCCAAGTCTTACTATTAACCCATAGCTGGAGTGAGAATAGGTGGATTCACATCTTTCTGAATTGGAATCTTTCTTTGAATTGGAACTCGCCTCTCCGATTAATAATACCGATCCGCTATCCATTGCACCACCCGCACATCGAAGCTTAAAAGAAACTATTTGGTGTTTCTTTCTTTTAGCGACATCTGGCCAAGGCAACACTGTAAATATCTGCCCCTCCCTATGTCTGGAATTTACTATCTAAGACACTATGTGTCTCTTTATCATTTCTTTAAGTTTTTTTTCCAAATTGTTGTTGTTTTTCTTTGAAAAGTATTTCATTATTTGTCGAAATTCTTTATTTAATCCCGAAATTTGTCTAAATTCTTTATTTAATCCCGGAATTTGTCTAAATTCTTTATTTAATCCCGGAATTTGTCTAAATTCTTTATTTTAGTATCGAAATTTGTCCAAATTCTTTATTTTAATGCCTAAATTTGTCTAAATTCTTTATTTAATCCCCAAATTTGTCTAAATTCTCTATTTCAATACCGAAATTTGTCTAAATTCTTTATTTAATCCCGAAATTTGTCTAAATTCTTTATTTAATCCCGAAATTTGTCGAAATTCTTGATTTAATCCCAAAATTTGTCTAAATTCTTTATTTAATCCCGAAATTTGTCGAAATTCTTTATTTAATACCGAAATCTAAATATTTTATTCACAATTTTATTTAATTTCTCTTTGGTAATTATAATGGTTTTAGCCGTACAAATCTTACTAATTAACCCATAGTTGTGGGGGGAAGATGTGGATTCATACCTTTCCCAAGGGTATTTGCACATAACAGAATATAAGAAACCCAACAGGAATTGGAACTCAGCTCTCTGATTAAGAATTCCGAGCCATTATCCATTACATCAACCGCACATCCAACCGTAGAGCAACTGATATTCCCATACTGGCCAGGCTCGATATTGCTTAACTTAACGGGAATCGCTGTTTCGACGTGATATGGCCGTAAGCATAAATGTCGTTGTCTCAACATGAGAGGATGAAATAAATGCAGATTCTGGTTGATTATAGATAATGGTTGACCCTAGACTTGAAGAGATTAAGATTGTAGTGATCGGGAAAGCATCCTCTCGGGAGTCTGTTTTACAAAGTAGCCGTTCTCAGGTGGAATCTGTTCATTAACAATGGAATATGAAGGGGGCGGAGATTATTCGACGCTGCAGAGTTGGCATGGCAGGTCCTTTTTATTGATTGAGTGACAAACAGAGCAATTTCTACAGGAGATCGAACCTAAGTATCATCTGTTCTGAAACAGTGTGGGGATATTTTCATTAAGATTTGTGAACTCTTCGGAGTCTACGAGCAGTCCCAAGGAATGCAGTCTTCTGTAAGTGGACAATCTTGACATTGAACCCACTCATCGGAAGTTCATTAATTATGGCACCTGGAACACCTGCCACAATAAGGACGACTTCTTCTTTTTCTTCTTCGTCCCCTTCTTTTTCTTTTCTTTTCTTCTTTTCTTTTCTTCTTTTTCCCTCCTTTCTTTCTTTCTTTCTTTCTTTCTTTCTTCTTCTTCTTTTCCATTCTTTTACTTTTTTCTTCCTCTTCTTTTTCTTTCTTCTTCTTTTTCTTCTTCTTCTTGTTCTAATTCTTTTTCTTCTTTTTCCTTTTTCTCTTTTTCTTTCTTTCTTCTCCTTCTACTTCTTTTTTGTTATATACCGTACCTATGAACCATAATGCGTATGTCCCAATCCTCATAAAGACGTTGGACACTATTGTAAGTGGGGGTAATATGGTGTCTATGTAGTCCACCACTAGCCGTGGTTTACCTACTTCACGCCGCTGGCGAGTATTGTATTTTGTTGATGTAATAAAGATTACCATTTCACTTCCAATCTCCATTTTGGTTATTTTTCATTCAGTAACTTGTCCTAGGTTGCAACATTTTTCTTCTTCTCTTCCTCCTCCTCCTCCTCCTTCATTATTTTCATTATTATCACTATATTTGGATTTCTGCTATAGTCACCTGTTTATTTCATGAACACATATAAATATTATGACTCCACTATATAAATATTTTTATTATATATTAAGGTACGTAGAAGTTATTATCCTTTTTTACAAACAATTATTCCTAAACTTATTTCATATATACATCTAAATACTATCTTTGACTTCATTATATTATTAATAATAGTATTACTATTCTATATCAGTGTGTACCAAAAGTGTTTTTATTATTCTAACTTACACGCATACACATTTTTTATATATATATACACACACAGACTGTTTCGCAGCTGAACATCCGGTTGCCTCGAGATAGGATCGAAAACCGACTGAATTGGTGTCAGCCGGCGATTCTACCACTAAGCCGTCGGCGTACGGTAGGGTTGTAGGCGAATTTTAGCATATTTATTTTTAGATAAACACACACAGTGACCGACAGTGACTCAATTCGCTTTTTTTGGCGAAGAGTCTCGCTATATTAGCTATAATAGTCACTGTTTACAAACCCACACCTCTTCCCCAGAGTGCTCAACTGAAATTAATTTTTCAGGAGCCAATATACCGTCATCCACAGACAGACTGTTTCGCTGTTTCACAGCTCATCAGTGTGGCTAGACATCCGGTTGCCTCTAGCTAGGATCGAAACCCGACTGAATTGGTGTCAGTCGAAGATTCTACCCTAGCCGAATGCATTTAAAGACTTTTTCTGTTTCTTTCTATCACTTTTGTTAGTATGTATCCCATCCTGTGATATTAAAAGATCTGCCAGGAATGGTGACATGTTGTAAGAGCAAGGGCGGAAGTTTACTGTGTATGACCTTGCAAACAAAGCACTCTCTAGATATTTACGTCGTGGTGAATTATTTTCTCGTTTGATTAGTAGCATTTTTATGTCTAAATTGTGGTCAGTTTCGTTACGGTAAACAACTAATGCGTCTTACGTATTGTTTTGTAAAATATCCCTGTTGCATTCATATAATCTTTTACTTAGATTACTTGAGGTTTCTCCTATGTATTTTTTGTGACTATTATTACAGGCGATCGAGTAAATTGCTTTTCAAAATTTTATTATTATTTTGTTTAGTATATACTAAGTCTTTTATTTCTTTAGATGCAGTAGTAACAAATTTCATATTCTATTTGGGTAAATTCTTTTCAATTGTAGTAGTGATAGAGTTAGTTAGTAGGACAATATATTTTTTTATTCATTAGCTTTGACAGGAGGGGGAGGTCTTTTAAATTTGGATTATTTAATGAGCTTTTTGCAACGCGTTGAATGTAAAATAATTAGGATACTGAAGAAGCTTGAAAGTGTTTTCAATGTTTTTCTTCTCTTCTTGTAAATAATGAGGGCTGCAAATTCTTAATGCGCTTAAGTAGAATCCGATAATTATACCGGATTTTATTTTGTTATGAAAAGAATAGAAATTTATTAGGTCCTTTTTATTGGTTGATTTCCAGTGGACACCAAGATTTAAAACGCGTCACTTTTTCCTCTTTGTCATAAATTTTCCACCAATATATATGATTCATGTAATATATATATATATATATATATATATATATATATTACATGAATCATTCATACAGAAACAGATTAGTGAAGTTAATGATATAAATGGCGAGAATACATCTTCACAAACAAATTTATTAAAATTACATTAACCTCTAGATGATTGTTGTGATCCCTGTTTTTAAAAAATTCAACTTGTATAAGGTTTTTTGCTAGCACTTTCATCTGTTCATACAGACATCAATAGGCATATATATATATATATATATATATATATATATATATATATATATATATATTGACGTGTATTTAGGCAGCAACCTTTCTTTCATGCATCTTTCATTGAAAACAGACGACAGGGAAGATTTAATTAAACTTTTAGTGATTTTTTTCTCAACATTCAAACATTTTTCCATTTTTCAGGGCTTAAAGAATATAGTAAGTGGCAGAGGGGACGGCGTGTTAAAAGTGTTCTAAAAATAGAAGTTTTGCCCTGATCAGCTGGCCGCGCACAGAACGTGATCGCCAAGAAGTACACAAACCATTAGAACTCCACAGTGTAAAATTGCTATGTAGCATTGACACACAGAATTTAAACATCCAAAAACACATCCTTGATAATGGCTTGATAAGTATCCGAAAGAGATCTGAACAATTATAACTATGGATATTTCCTATATTCTTTAAATCCTGAAATACGGAAAAAATGCTAGATAGCTGGAAAAACTCAATAAAAAAGATTAATCAAATCTTCTTTAACGACCGTTTTCACTGAAAGATATACAATATCGCCAATGAAATAAATAATATTTATGTTTGTCACACCACAAACTTTGGGGGTTAACTATTTGCCCATAGCTGGGACCCTAACAGGTGCTACCAGCTCGGTTCAGAGTGAACCTTGGAACACCAGCAACTGGCTCCACTCTCGTCAAAACCTCCTGATCAGAGGCCTTGCTGCTGGACTTAGTTCATCGTCTTGCCCAGGACGCGGATGTAGTTTATCGTCATACCCAGAACGAAACATTTTTTGTAATTTTATGAATAAAAATGGTTTTATAGTTATTTCTTTATAAGACCCAGAACGGCCTTCATGAGGTCCACGTCGTCCCATATATATATATATATATATATATATATATATATATATATATATATATATATATGTATTGATATAAGGTCGTCTTGAAAATGAATATCTATCTATCTTTATCACTCTCTCTCTCTATCTCTCTCTCTCTCTCTACCTTTCTCTCTCTCCATATATACATTGTGTTTGTTGTTTTGCGCGTGAGTTTAAGACCACATTCACACACTTTAGAATAAAAAATATATATACATGTATTGTCAAATGACCGGATATATTGTAGCATCTTGTCGAACGTAATTTCAACGAAGAAATAAATTGAATAACATATGTATTTTTTCTTTTCTCAATAATTTTGTAGTTTTTAAACTTAATAGTGATTAAATTTGGATTTTAAAATTGCCAGTTTTTAATTTTAATATTAAATTTTATCATATAATTTTATAATTATTGGTTAGTATAAATTATTTTTAATATTACCTGTATTTTAAAGATCTGAATAGCTATTATAACGTTGTCAATCTTTTGAATCTTTCTATACTTGGTTTTTGATTGGTTATTCTATTTTTTGTAACAATGTTTCCCCCTAGTGTAGGATCGTTAATTAATCTGAAACTTTTAAACCCATTTATTTTATCTTCAACATCATCACTTGATAAGACACCGAGGGTGTTGAAACAAAATGGCTATTTTTGTAGTGATTTTATAACATACTTATGTCATAATTTTTTTTTTTATAAATAATAATTATATCTGCTCTACTTTGAGCACTCTTTTAAGAATAGTAATTGTTGGTTATTGGAATTCATTCCGTATATACAAATTATATGATATATATATATATATATATATATATATATATATATATATATATATATATATATATATACAGATAGATAGATAGATAGATAGATAGATAGATAGATACATGGTATATGTTTATTAGGACTATTTTATCTATCATTCTGCAACTTTTTAAAACTAATATTACGTTTCAGCAGATGTATTCTTCGATCTTCCTCGTGGAAGGCGAAGCGGCTTGATCAGTTTGGGGAAGGGAAAGCAAATAAATATGTCCGATCCTAAATCAAAGAAAAACTCGCCTTCGTTATTCAGTTTAGCGACAATGTCTGTTTAAAAACAAATTATGTGCAGAGATTGTCAAAAAATAACTTTCAAATGCCTCCAGTCTCAGGAAGACAAAACCGGGGAAAAGGCCGTTAAATTAACGGCTGACAGGAAATTCCTTTTTTTTTTTTTCTTGAAATGTCAGGCAATCAATCAGGCTAAGTGCGAAAAGGATTTGCGATTAGGGAAATCGAATCCATTTCATGTGGAAATAAAGCCCGGCTTATCCGAAGGAAAGGCAATTAATGTTGGGGAAGATATAAAATATGGCCGCCTTTAGCATCCCATTCATTTTGATATGTCTCTGTTTCTTCATATCTATCTATCTATCTATCTATCTATCTATCTATCTATCTATCTGCGTCTTCGTATTTTCTATTGTTTCAGTGTTATTTATTGGAACTATCTATTATCTGTTTCTCAGTAAATGTATTCAAGTTTATTTTTTCTATCTATCTATCTATCTATCTATCTATCTATCTATCTATCTATCTGCGTCTTGTTTCAGTGTTAATTATTGAAACTGTCTACTATCTGTCACTAAATATATTCAAATCTATAGTAATTTTTTTTCTATCTATCTATCTATCTATCTATCTATCTATCTTATTCCGTTCATATCTATCTATCTATCTATCTATCTATCTATCTATCTATCTATCTATCTATCTCAGTCTGTTTTTATCTATCTATCTATCTATCTATCTATCTATCTATTCAAGACTATAGTATTTTTTTTTTCTATCTATCTATCTATCTATCCATCTATCTATCTATCTATCTCAGTCTGTTCATATCTATCTATCTATCTATCTATCTATCTATCTATCTATCTTCATATCTATTTGGTTTATCAAAAATACTTTGACAAACTTTGGGGGCGTGTCCCTAACAACAAAACAAAGACAAAAGCACATATAAATATATGCCCGCAAATCCTTTGTTTTTTGAGTAATTAAGTTTAACGTTTGCGGTAGACGCCGTGAAATGTACAATCCAAGATACATTCCAAAAATACTTTTACAAACTCTGGGAGCGGGTTCTTGACAACAGCAAAAGGTAAAATGTCCATATAACCATACATCAAAAAGGCCATGTTTGTACCTCAACAATTGTTCAAAATGTCCTCAGCTTGTTTCTTCACATGCATGCACCCGTAGGATGATTGACTGGCAGACCCTTTCAAATACTCCTACACAGTGTCGAATGTTTTCACAGGCCCCCATGTAACGTTGATGAAGCGTCTCTGCTTTATTAATGTCTGCCGCATAAACCAATTGTTTATTATGGCCCTACAGATAAACATCCAAAGGATTGTATTCGGGGTAACATGCAGGCTATGGAACCGGTCCTTCCCTACCTATTCATGGTAAATGTCAGTGTATCGCGAACTATGTGATTAAAATGCGCTGGACCCCCATCATGCACTAACCACATGTGTCTTCATGTTAGCAGGGATGCATCCTCTAGCAGGTTTGGAAGTGGGTTCGAAATAAAGTCCCTGTAGACAGATCTAGTAAGACGTGCCGGGATTACATATATACCTATCAGGCAGTCATTTACAATTCCAGCCTACACATTAATTGTAAACTGATGCTGGTGTCTTGCCTGTGGGTATTCCGATTCGCCTACAAATGTTGATTGTGTAAATGGGTTATCCCATCTCTTCCAAATGTTGCCTCACCCGTAAACAAGACTGAATAGACAAACAAAGGATTGACAGTTTGCGCAATAAACCATCGGCAAAAGTTCTACTGTGGTGAGTGATCACAGGGCAAAAAACTCTGCAAACATTGCAAATGATACGGATACAGGAGGTGCTGTTGAAGTATTCTCTATGTTGTACTATGAGTTGTACGACATGCTAGGGCTACTTGACGTGTGCTGATACCGGGATTATCTCCGACACTCTGTAGAAGGTGGTCTTCGTGGTTAGGCATCTTCCTAGTTTGCAGTGCAATGGATCCTGTCTCAGCAACGTGACGATAAACATCAACAAAGATTGGATGACTCGGCTGCCTTCGGTCTGAAAACACAATTGGATACAGCCCTGCAGCCTCGCGTCCATTACCATTCGGGATGGTGTATTGATTTTCTAAGCGTTGCCTAGATGTGGCACAAGGCCGAAAGTATGGCGCACCCAGTGAGACTCACTATTCAGTCGTAACTGTTTTAGCGAGACAAGCTTGCTAACCATTACACCGCCTCGAGGCGCCCCAATTCGGGCTGGCGTATGTAAAATCATATCTGCCTGTTCATGATATGAATATCTTACTATTGTTAAACGGAATACTTTTCAGTTATCTTACTACTACACACGTTAAACGTTGAAAAGTGACTAGTTACAATAATAACTCAAAAACGAAGGACTTGCGGACATATATTTGTATGGACTTTTGTTCTGGGTTAAGGAAACCGCCTGAAAGTTTGTAAAAGTATTGAACTTCTTCGGGAGTGACGAACAAGAATGGTTCCCACTGTTTGCTTTGAATTTTTGATTCAGTTTCGAAGTGGTGAACCCAGATTTCATCTTGACTTAATAATCTGCGATGGAAATGCTCAGGGTCAGCCTGGAAGCGAGTCAGAAGTTTCCAGGAAATGTCAACCCTTTTCAACTCCTGCACTGGTGTCAGCATTGTTGGGTAACATCTTTCACACTGCTTGTCCATCCCCAAGATCTAAGTTAAAAACAGTTTTATCTCGAACCAAGACTAATGACTATAGACTTACCTCTCTGCTAGACAGTAAGACATCTGCCATCCGAAACCATACCGTGAATGGCATAAATGGCTGTGGTTGAGTTTTTTAAACCTTTTCATCTGTGGTTGTTTGAATTCCGCAGACACCTTCTTTACAGTTTTTTTAGACGACAACTGACCGAGGGTTTCATCTTTGTAGATATTGTCCCTGTTTCCATTTTTAGATTTGTTGCTGACTTCTCGTTTGTAATTCCACAGACACCTTTTTTTATAGGAAGTTGCATAGAAAAATGTTCAGTAATGGCTCTTCATTCTGTGTGACGCCTAGAATATTTTAACATGCCCTCTTAAGGGATTTTTTCTCTGAGGTTATTAGTGCTGCTAATTAAAATAATCTAGTCTAGACGCAATTCTGTTTATTTTTTGTAGATACTGTATTTTTACTGGAAAGGGAATTTTATTTTTTTTCTTTCCATTTTATCCATTTTGTTGTTACTGACTTCCACCATTTTGTATTATATCCACGGTAATACATCAGGATACAACCTCAAGGCCACTACAGACAATTTTTATTTTTTGTTTTAGTTTTATAGAAAGTGGGTTATCTAATGCGTTCAGGAAAGTTGCCATGGAAATTCAAGCCTGGAAGAAAATGTTCAGTTATGCTCCTGTTCTTCATTTCTTGGGACCCATCTTGCAGACAGCTTGCTCATCCCCAAAATTTGACTGAAACACTATAGACTGAACAGAACCTAGAATATTTTTAACAGCCCCTGTCATCCAAAACTGCTGAATGGCATCAACTGTTTTCTCTGAGGTTATTTCAGTGCTAATTCTTTCCGTGTAATCTAGCATCAAGTGGATACATGATTTCTATGAAATTGAACTCAGCCGAAAATTGAGACGCAATTCTGTTTTCTGTACTGGAAACAATCCACTGTTATTGTTAACTTGTATTGATTAGCGTTTCCTTCCAGATCTTTTTACGGTAGTCTGGAAAGTCTATATCTTGATTATATTATTTTCTCTTCTATATACATGTGCTATACACGTTTTTGCTGCTGCAGTTGGAAGTCTTCCTGTTATATTTTGTTTTCCTTATTTGGTAATAATATAATTGTATCCACGGTAATATGTCAGGAAACAACCTCAAGTTGATGGAAGGTTAGGGCTAGGCCACGTGCACCCAAAAGAACTGGGTTTTATTTATTGGTTTATTTGAATTGTCCTTGAAATGTCACCGCTTTTCAGCTCCTGTTCTGGTGTCAGCATTCTTGGAACCCATCTTGCAGACAGCTTGTTCATTCCAAAGATCTCAGTTAAAACAGTATAGACCGAACCAGAATTAATGCCCATGGACTTATCTCTTAGCTGGACTGTAAGATGCCTGTTATCCAAAACTATACGCTAAATGGTATCAAATTGTTCATCAGTGGTTGAAGTTTTTAGACGACCTGACCAAGGGTCAACTTCTGTGCTTTCGCTGCCCCGCTTGAATTCCGCAGCCCACTCCTTTTTCACAGTTGTATAGGATTCTCATTTGACCATTTTTAGATCTGTTGAACACTTCTCAACTTTTGTATGGCCTTCACATGCACAGAAATTAAGACAGACATCTGAATTAGTTTTTCGATTTTTATAAGAAGTTTTAGCGTATTGCTACAACAAAAATGTTCAGCTATGGCTCTGTTATGGGACCTTACCCATAATAACATAATGGACTATTCCATACGTAATAAATACTGCGCCTCGAGAGGAAGCAGGAAGTTCAGTCTGAAGTCGGACGACCGGCTGACCGGTTGAACTCTCTGCCTTCAGGCGGGGCGGAACTCGAACGAGGCTACACCGAAGGGCGGAGTCTCTTTCGGGGAGGTAAACCCTGAACCCGTTTATACGGGTTTTAAAAGGGCATATTGTTGGCCGAGCCCACGGGCTCGGAGATCCCACGTGCTCGGAGATCCCACGTGCTCGGAGATCCCACGTTAAACCGGCCTTGTGCCACATGATGCCCTCGTGGGGGGTGACTAAATACTGTTCAGTCTGAAGTTTGGAGTGAAGTCCGTCAGGAGTCTGTCTGTTATTCAATCAGAGCAAGCGAGTCAGTCAGAGCGAGCGAGTCACTCGAGTCAGAGGCAATCCGAAATAGAGTCGCGTTCAGACAATTACTACAAGACATTGGTCGAGACTACATTGTTCTCTCTACTAAACCTGATTGTTCGTACTAACACTTTCTACTTCTCTGTATATATTCCTGTTTGTAATATATCTGTGTTATTCCATATCCGTGTTCGAGTTCTTCTTTATTGGTTCTACCTTGGACCATCACCGTGGTACAAGGACCTGGACCATAACAAGTGGCAACGAAGATTCGAACTCACACGTGAAGAACAAACAACAAAATCCTCTTTCGTCCACATAACACTGGGTGAGGCTTAGAACTTTTTGTACGACCCTGTATCTTTTCTATGAATATTTTCATGGTAATTGGTCTGATGGGCTTTCAACTTTGGCGCCTAGATTTTATGAATTTAAACGTACTACTAGATTGACGAGAAGGTCTCATCCTCCTCTTACTGTTGAGATTTAACCGTAAGTTCTATGCTAACAGTTTCTTCTCTCGCATTTCTCTCTTTTGGGACTTTCTTACGACTTCTTGCTTTCCAGTCATTTTTGCTCTTCCGAAATTTAAATTCAATACCAATCGTTATATTCTGTCTTCTTAATTCCTGTTCTTTTATTGTTCTCTCTCCTTGATAATGTTTTCGTTTTCTTATATTCTCTCACATTCAGTAACCTCGTACGTCTTAGTGGCTTTATTGCCTTGCTTGGTGTGAAATGATTATAAAAATGGCTAACACACCAACTACTGACTAGTAATGCGTAAGCATATATTTTCATACATAGTTATAACAAGAGATTGGTTATATCTTCTTTAATGTGCCGGTACACCTCAGGATGTGTGGCGAACATGGCTCTCCTCAACATCTTTGAGGCTCTATTTAATATTTTTACAATCACCTCTAGGTCTTTCTCTTCTATTTGGTGTTTCCCCTGAATTGCTTTTAAATATAATATTATTAAATTGTTCGGAATATAAGGTTCGATTTTTGAATGAACTTTTATTCCAGAATTAATGTGTTTAGACAATGAAAATAACCGCACGCTTTCTGAAGGAACACGGCACGAAGAAGAAGAAGAAGAAGAAGAAGAAGAAAACGTTGAAGAAGAAAACATTGAAGAAGAAGAAGAAGACGTTGAAGAAGAAGAAGAAGAAGAAGAAGAAGAAGACGTTCAAGAAGACTTTGAAGAAGAAGAAGAAAACGTTGAAGAAGAAGAAGACTTTGAAGAAGAAGACTTTGAAGAAGAAGAAGAAGAAGAAGAAGAAGAAGAAGAAGATGAGCTTGTGTAAATGTTTGGAAGAAGAGGGATAAGGAGAGTAAACAAAAAGACAAAACTTAATAAGAGTTACATAGGACAGGCAATTGTGGAGAGCCATGATCGCCCACGTCTTGAAGGGACACTGCGCAAAGGAGAAGAAGAAGAAGAAGGAGAAGGAGGAGTAGGAGGAGAAAAGAAGAAAGAGGAGGAGGAGGGGAGAAGAAGAAAAAGAAGAACGAGGAGGAGAAGAAGGAGGAGGAGGAGGGAAAAGTAGAAGTAGGAGGAGATGAAGGAGGAGGTGGAGGCGGAGGGAAGAAGAAGAAGAAGAAGAAGGAGGAGGAGGAGGAAGAAGAAGGAGGAGGAGGAGGGAAGAAGAAGAAGAAGAAGAAGAAGAAGAAGAAGAAGGAAATGAGCTTGTGTAAGTCTGGTACAATAGGGATAAGGAGAGTAAACAAAAAGACAAAACTTAATAAGAGCTACATAGGACAGGAAATTGTGGAGAGCCATGATCACCCACGTCTTGAAGGGACACTGCACAAAGAAGAAGAAGAAGAAGAAGCCTGTGTAAATTATTTGTAGAACAGGGATAAGGATAAGTAGCAAATAGTTTTTTTAAAAAAAGGTACAAAGAACATGGAATTGTGGGAAACCATGATTACCCTCGTCCTGAAGTGACACGGCAGATAGAAGAAGAGCAAGTGGGTACAGAAGAAAGCAAATAGAAATTTAAGAGAATAGTCCTGGCTTTAAATAACTTTGAAAAGATTGATAATCCGTAAAATCAAATCATTCAGCCAAGCAATAATTTTGAGATGATGTCATTATATTGTGTAATATCTATCCTCTTACATGGCAAAGAACAATTGACAATTTCCTCACATATGAAAAGGAAACTTGAGACAATAAAGATGTTGTTCATCAGAAGGATGCTGAGAATACCTTGAAGTAAATATGTGTGTAACGAGCAAGTCTTAAGGGAAAGGGTTCTAAATGAACCCTCATTCTTAGTATCAAAAAGACAGTGTTGAAATTTATGGGTAACATAACTTGACCGCCCTGTATGTCCTTAGAAAATTTCTTGCCCGCTCTGAGTGTCCTTAGAGACTTTCTTGTTCGCTCTGGGTGTCCTTAGAGAATTTCTTGTCCGCTCTGGGTGTCTTTAGAGGCTTTCTTCCCACCATGGATGTCCTTAGAAATTTTCTTCCCGCCGTGGATGTTCTTAGAGACTTTCTTTCCTGTCTTGGCTGTCTTTAGAGACATTCTTGCCCGCCCTGGATGTGCTTAGAGACATTCTTGCTTGGCTTGGCTATCCTTAGAGACTTTCTTGTCTGTCTTGGCTGTCTTAAAGACTTTCTTGCCCATCCTGGCGGTCCGTAGAGGCTTTCTTGCCCGCCCTAGATGTCCTTAGAGACTTTCTTGCCCGTCCTGGCGGTCCGTAGAGACTTCTTGCCCGCCCTAGATGTCCTTAGAGACTTTCTTGTCCGTCTTGGCTGTCTTAAAGACTTTCTTGCCCGTCCTGGTTGTCCGTACAGACTTTCTTGCCCGCCCTAGATGTCCTTAGAGACTTTCTTGCCCGTCTTGGCGGTCCGTAGAGACTTTCTTGCCCGCCCTAGATGTCCTTAGAGACTTTCTTGCCGCCCTGGATGTCCTTAGAGACATTCTTACCCATCCCGGCTGTCCTTAGAGTCTTTCTTGCCCGTCCTGGCTGTCTTTAGAAACTTTCTTGCCCACCCTGTATGTCCTTAGAGACTTTCTTGCCCTTCCTGGCTGTCCTTAAAGACCTTTCTCCTCAGTATCCCCGTATCGATATCGTTCGGTCTTTTATTATCTCGCAAAGTACGCTCCTGTGAAAATTGAATTCAAAGAAAACGAATAATTCCTTTATTATTTACTTCTTTTCGTATTCTTCCACTGAAATATGACCCAGTGCATATGTTAGTACTACGAATTTCTATTCCAAGAAGCTGTTCCTTGCAGATTTGTCACTGATTCTCGATTGGATTTACATCAGGAGAGTGTCCGGCGAGTCTATAGTACTTTGATTTGCTCACTAGTAAGACATGCCAGTGTGTTCGTACAGTGTTGCATTTTTCGCACGCCTCCTTGGAGTAACGTCTATCGCAGACAATGGCCGCAGGACAACTAATCAACAGTCGAGACAATAGTGTCTGGGCGTGATAAAAATATGATGCAATCACGGATGACGCAATATTTTTCAAGGCCAAACAAATGTCGTCATACACCCCAAAAATAGATTCATATTGCTGCACACCACTGCAAATAATCTAATCTGAGGAAAAAAAATTGTAATCGATTACACCCTATCACTCCAGTGGATCTAAAGCTGGTCGTAAGGTAAAAGAAAGGAAACTAAAGCGGTTGTTTCAATTAATTTGCGCAAGGGTGTACTTGATCCGGGTGTTTGGATTAAATTTGCATATGGATATGCAAATCGCATCATTTTCCTGACATCATTGCTTTTGTGTTGTGCGTTCATTCTGCTCGGATAAATCAAATTCAGCTCAGAAATTTGGAAAAAAATGTAACACAAACAATTCGAACAACTTTTGGTATCATAATGACATCATCTCAAAATCATAGATTGAGTGAGTGATTTGGGTTTTTTTTTACAGCTTATCTACCTCTTTAAGGTTATTTAAAGCCGAAATATATTTTTTGATTGTAAGAATTTTGGCGTGATAATAATGATTTTCTAATAAAAGTCGTATTATTTAACCCACAGCTGCGAGGAGATAAGGTGGATTCATATTTTCCCCAAGGGTATTTGCAGGTAAGTGACTGTAACGAACCCGACTGGAATTCGAACACAGCTCACCGATAGTTCATTCTTAGCCTTTATCCATTACTGTTGTGACCAAGTAATGGTTAAGGAATAACAAAACAAGACGTTGCAGATAAATAGTGTATTGAACAGTAAATACAACAGAAGTGAGTTACACGATTTGGGAGTGTGTGTCGGTTGACCCGCGTTCAGTCTATATCACTGTTCCCCCTGAGGCCTACTTTTCCTACTAACTTTATAGTAAATGGAAGAGTCCAAAATAGCCTCGTTAGAGGGAGGAACCAGAACAATTACACCACCCGCACATCCAAGCTTACAGCACCTGGTATTCGAAAATGGTCACCCATCTAGGCACTGGCCAAGTTCAACATTGCTTAACTTCGCTGATCGGATAAGAACTGGTGTTTCACCGTGATATAGCCGTAAGCCTCGAAGTTATTGAGTATACTATTATGTTAATAGCAAATATCGCATCGCAACAAATACGGTAGTTGCTTTAATCGAATTAAGCACAAGACTGGAACTTCACCATTACAAAATCCAATTAAAAACTTTTCAGTTTTCCGCTTATTTTTAAAACTCACGTCGCCATTTAAAAAAAATTAATACTTAAAACAAAAATATCTGCGGCGAAAAACGTGGACAGAATAATCTGTTTCACAAAACTAAACGTTGGCGCGTATTTCTTGTACCTGCTTCGCGCCATTTCCGTCTCGGGCTTTAATCTGGTTTGACGTTGCAAATAATATTAGCGCACTTCGATCAGCCATATTGCATTTCTTTCGGGAAGTCGTTGGCTGAGCGGAAGCCGGCATTATAATGGCCTTTAATGGGCTGTCAAGTTAGCCGCGGTCATAAAACCCGCGTATTACTTGTCCCAGCTGACGAAAGTTAGCGATATAAATGGAGCCAGAGATAGGATATCCATTTACAGACATTTTCTTATTCTTTTCTTAGGGGTTTCTTTTTCCATGCATAAAGTCATTTCAGAACCTGAGTGGCTTTGGCTCTCCACAACTTCCTATATTTTATTTTAAGTAATTAATGGTCGATCCATTATCATTTCATTCGTATTCTATTGGTAAATAACGGAGACCTTTTTGAAGCGCTTCTTTCCAAGAAAGTGGAACAAACTCCCAAGGGGGTGCTTTCCGATCACTCTTCGAGTCTAGGCTCAACCTTTTTATTACTAAAAGAAATCATCAGTGTAAATAAGCTCCTAGTGAGTGTAAAACAGAAAAAAAAGTTGCTCGCGATCCAACCATGTGAGAACGAAGAAGTTTTTTCTTCTGCCTGCACAAAGTCGGTCGATGAAGTTTGATGTAAACAGCTTCGAAAAACTGTAAATTTTTAACCGACAGACCATTCTGAAGCACTCTGAACGCGTCATCAAAATATTCTACTAATTTCAAAATATTATTCCATCGTTACACAGGAATTACCATGTTTCAAAAACAGAAAGTAAACCTTAGACTTAATTATAGAATTAAATTTAAAATCTTTATCTCGGTTTCATTTTTAAGCGATCTCTGGAATATTCAGAGATAAAGATTTTAAATTTAATTTTATAATTAAATTTAAGGTTTTCTTTCTGAAACATGGTAGTTCATGCTTACCCGCGCCACATTGTGCCTGGCATTGTCATGGAGAAAAAGTACGGATTTGTGATTAACGAATTCTTGTTCCTTCTGTATCACTGCCTGTTGCACATGTTCTAACTGCTGCCAGAGTAAATGAAAAAAAAACAAAACAAAAAAAAAAAACAGGACCAAAAATATACTGAAAATCTTGTAAAATCTCTAACCATTCTACCCATTCGAAACATCTCTACTCGATAATGTATCGATAATATACAAGGTAAACTAAAAAGTCCATGCGGTTTTTGAGTTATGAGAAAATAGGCATATAGAAAATTTGACATATCATTAGTCCTAAGAGTAATCTCCATCTTAATCCAGAATCTTTTGTCAACGTGTCTCCAGCTCCGCGATTTGCAAAGGATTTCTCACGAAGGTGGTTCCCAAGGTTATGGAAGAGTTAGGTGGTAATCTGTCGGCTCAAGTGCCGGGGAGTAAGATGGATGTCACAGTGTCTTCTACCCAAGGGGTCTTGTGGTATCCCTGACCATACGCGTCGCATGAGACGAGAAGAATCAGGTGTCGTTGACGTAAAGAAGTCTGTGAATACCCGCCACAAGTTTGCCTCATTTGCGAACGAAAGTTGTTTTCCATGGAATGGAATAGTTAGTAATGCGCAAGATCGAGGAAGTAAAGTGAATGGCACGGTGTCTCCCAGCCATGTCACCAGAGAGTATCCCTGGTTACTCGCGCCACGTGATGCTTGACATTGTCATGGAGAAAAAGTACGGATTTGTGATTAACGAATATTTGTTCATTCTGTATCACTGCTTGTTGCACATGTTCCAACTGCTGCCAGAATAATAAAAAAAAAATCTTGTAAAATCTCTAATCATTCTACCCATTCTAAACATCACTACTCAATAATATCTCTTACTTATTATAAAACCCAGGTTGTGTGTGTGTGTGTGTGTGTGTGTGTGCGTCTGTACGTTTATATATTGGATCGGATTTCCTACATTTTTCAACCGATTTCAACAAAACTTCACAGGACTGAGTAAAATTACCTTGCGGTTGTTCTGACAGTGTCAAAAATTGGAAAAACACAATTGTTTTGGCACAAAATCAATTTGAAAGGACAATTAAGAGGCATCACTGTCTGAGAATGAAAGGGGGACAACTCATATCGAGTTATACTTATTATAAAACCCAGGTTGTGTGTGTGTGTGTGTGTGTTCGTTTATATATGGGATCGGATTTCCTACATTTTTCAACCGATTTCAATAAAACTTCACTTTTTTTGGCAGGTAGTGTTTCTTATTGTCTTGCACACTTTTTACTTTATTTTTACATTCAGAATGCTTTAAAAATTCCATTTACAAGATAATTGTTTATAATAAAATTCTATTCCAATCGATAGACTCATAACGATTGAAAACAATGTTTTTGTTTGAGTTTGGGTTTGACCAATTTGTAAAAATAAAATCTAATTAAGACATGCGTATCCGTCAACCTTAAACAATAATCTTTGTCAATTTTATTTTTCAGTCTTTATGATGGTCGATACTTGATCTATCTCTTACTGTCTCGGGCTCTACTGCTAGTCGATAATATAAAAGGCAGACTAAAAAGCCCATCCCGCTTTTGAGTTATGAAAAAATAGGTATATAGCAAATTTGACTTATCATTAGTCCTAAGAGTAATCTCCATTTGGATCCAGAATCTTTTGCAAACGGTTCTCCAGGAAATGGAAGAGGTGGTAATCTGTTGACGTAAGAGCCGGGGAGTAAGGTGTCTTCTACCCAAGGAGTCATATCGTATCCCTGGCCATCCATGCCGCATGAGGCCTGGCATTTTCATGGAGGAACGGTACACCCATCTGATTGGGCAATGCTAGTTGCTTCTGCTTCAGTAACTGTTACACACGTGCTAATTGCTGCGATTACACGTCTGTAGGGATGGTTTGTCCTCTTGGTAGCACCACTTGTCAACTAGCCCACCAGATGGAGAGCATGATTTTGTCTGGCTGTAGAGGTAGCCTTGTGATGTGCGAAACAGGGTCCCGTGGTGACAACCGATGTCTGCCACGCTTGAGAGTGTCGTACAAGACCAACTTTGCGTCCCTGGTGAGCACTCGATCAAATATGGGTACGTTGCGGTGCCGAGAAAGAAACGAGAAACAGACTGTCTCTTCTTATTGCCTTTTTGGCTTCCAACAGTGTGTGGAGTTAGGTGGTAATCTGTCGGCTCAAGTGCCGGAGAATAAGGTGGATGGCGCAGTGTCTTCTACCCAAGGTGTCTTATGGTATCCCTGGCCATACGCGTCGCATGAGACGAGAAGAATCAGGTGTCTTTGACGTAAAGAAGTCTGTGAATACCCGCCACCCGTCCTCTTCATGCGCTGCAGGTGAAATCTGACAGTTTCATCAGAATTTGGCTATTGTTCTTTGTGGACGTATTCGGGGCCTGTGACTTGCCACTGCGGGGTTCATTACAAGGGACAGATCTCCCGACCTGGACTTCTGGAACCAATTTATGACGGTAGGTTCACTCACAGCGATGTCCCTAAAAAAAGCTTGATGTATTCGACGACTTGATGCGGCTGCGGACAAGCCCACCTTAAAGTCATAAAGCAGACAACCCCAACCGAGGTGCTTCGACATATTTCCTTGATGTTGCTCGAGCTGTGACTGATGTGTGTGCGCATCGCACCTGTGTCGGTCAAGAGAAATGCCCCCCCCCACTTCCAACCCATTGATTTGCGTATATTTGGGCGCAATTTTTTTTGTGAACTATAAGTTGACTAAAGAAATATAAATATAATACTTCTCAGTTCTGTCTATATTTCTGAGATGAGGTATTATGTGCATTATTTACAATATTTGGACTATTGTCCTCATCTTTGTCTCCATATTTATTACAACGTTTCACATATTAGCACATATGCTAGACCATAAAAATTTCCTGAGCCGACCAAGCATAGAAATGCCAGTAACCAGTAATAAGGAGTGCCGGAGAAAAGCGATAACAACAACAAAAATTGCAATATGAGCTCTGGTAAAAACATTCAAATGATAACAGCAAAAATTGCAATATGAAAACTAGTAAAAAAAATTGTGTTGAAGACATTAGGTTTATAATACCCAGAAATTCATACACAGATGTCCTCAAGGACACATGGCACAGTGGATAAAGGCGTTAAAGAGTGTGAGTTCCTGTTAATTTCCCTCTACCACTCCCTTAACCGGGTGAGGTTTAGGCAGTGGAGAACTTTCAGAGGGAAATTAAAAGGTGTTAACTGATAACTGACATCCATTAAAAATGGCACGTGGAACTAGAACAGTCTGCTCCAGTGAGCGAAATGAAGGGTTCAGTTCATATATTGGAAATAAAATACTTCTCACGTGACTTTAAAAAGCCAAGGATTTTTTTGGTCACCTTATTAATTCACGAAAACCAGTTGCACCCAAATATGATATAAAAAAAATCAATGGTACTCGTGCGATATATAAATGTATGCTTAAAAGACAAGACTGTGTTAATAAAATTAACAGCTTTAAATAAAATAGTTTTATCCTTTTAAAGCTTTAAACCTGCGATTTGTCTGGCTGGGTGCCATTTTAGTGTGCATCAGAGGGTCATGTAATTAACGAAATAAAAAAAACATTTTGAAAAGGATAAATTTTAAAAAAAATCATTTCGAGAAGACGTTAAGATATGTCTCTCCTTTGCAACTACATGGATAAGGAATTTTTGCATAGACAGAAACGAAAATAAATATCGCAATAAACTGAATACTGAGGCCAATTGTTTATCGTTAAACCTGAAAAAGTCGGGTTTATCGGGGAG